GAGGCTGAGGCTGTAATGGTTGTCTCTTCGTGGGTCCATCTTTCGGCCGGAGGTCACCGAGGATGCTCCGGTAGAGGCTGATCTGCCGGAGTGATAGTTGGAGTAAAACGCTGGGTCTGCTCGAGTGAGAGGTGGCAGACAGTTCTTGGTCATGTCGGCTTTTGGTCTTCCCTTGTCGAGAACAATGACGGCATAACCAAAGTCTGTAAGAGCAGTCAGCCAGTGCTGCTTGCTGTGACGCGGTGGATGTTCTAGACCGTTCGAGAGAGGAGGATCCGGGACGGACAACGTGGTAACCTACCTATTGGATGGTATGTGGCGATGACAAGCGACGTGAAAGTAAGAGCCGCATCGGTTACCACACGCGTAAAGTGCTTGATCAAATTGCTCGCCTTTCCCGCAATATCGGCAGGCCCCAGCAGAGGTTGGTCGCCCCAGTTGGTTGGGTGGATTTCTGCGATGCAAGTTAGCCATGGTGTATATGCATGATTCTGTCTTGCATCAAACGCGTCGCCAGCGAAGAGGAGCTCAAAATGTGTTTCGAATTCAGTTCTTTCTCTAAATTGTGTCTTCATCGAGGGGAGCCAGCAGCGGTTTTGAAGTCCATGATGCGCGTTTGGCGGGAGAGGCGACGAAACTTTTGTTTGCCGCAGCCTTTGGTCCGACGCGGTTGAGGCAGCGAAGAGCCGAACTCCATAAAGTGGCAATGCAAAGTCGAAGCAGCGCATCAATGTGTTCTCCATGGGAACCAGGTGTGTAGCCGAGAGTACTTGGTCTGCACCGGCACCAGGGCAAGACAACGTGAAGCTGTCGACAGACTGGTAGGACCACGAGAGAGTTCAACTCTCGAGTACGAGTTCGAGGTCGGGGTGGTTCTTCGGTCCCCTCCCAAACCGAACACACGCATCAGGCAAACTCTAACCCCAGAAGGGCTCCCTTCTGTCGGACCTTTTACCAGAAGTTCATCATGGATGAAACACAGTCTCCGTTCGGGGAGGAAAAGCAGAAAGACAGAGGCGCCCGAGAGCGTACATACCGCGGAGATTGGACAGGTATCACTTCTGGACGACTGTGATGCGCACGAGTGAGGCGGCGGGAGATGATGACAAGTTTAGCGTTCTCGGGCTGTCAAAACAGGTGAGATGCCTCTGATCGAAGTGAGTCGTCCGCGAAGAGAAAAATAAGTCGGCTCGTGTGTGAAGTGAGGTTGCTTCGATGACTGCAGCTGACACATGGTTGGTAGGTGATTGCATAAGTGAACCTTGATTAGCGAACGCATCGGACCTAGAAGAAAAGTGCTAGGATGAGGTGTCTCCTCGGCCGTCACCCAGCCTTGCCAGGTCAGGGCAGATGCAACGACAGAGCCTCGAGCGAGGCTGTGGTAGATGGATGAAGCTCACAACAAACAGGGTATATAGGATGGCAGGTACCTCGGCGGGTACATTAGGTGGGCAAGCAAGGCAAGGCAAGATGGGTGGGTGGGATTGGCACAGCGAGCGTCAGAGGTGCTGACTGGAGTTGCTCTTGGTTTTACCACCCTTGGCGTAAACCGAATCGGGTTAGCACCAGATGCCGCTTTTGCTCAGATTCGTCTGTCGCCCTTGCACACGCTAAGCCACCCTTCGCGAATTGCCCTATATATGCCATCCACGCTGTAATACATTGGCACGTTCGTATTGAAACGTCAAGCCTCTTCCGCATGGAGATGTTCCATATACTCATCATGTGGCGCTGGCGCGGCCACTGGCGCGGCCAACAACCAACAACGGTCATGCTTCGGCACGGCGAACTCCTGGCTTAGGAGTAACTTGACATGGCAACTCAACCGCAGCCTAAAGCTTATGCTCAGTCATGTTGGTGGTATTCACTTGGGGGCTTCCAGTGGCATTCACCTGATGCCAGGTGGCCTGTGCCCTGGCACCTCCCATAGCTTAGTTCCAGGCACCCTCCTGCCCTAGAGAATAGCTTCCCAATACACACCTTTCTTCTCAGACCCTTGACCTCCAACAGGTTATGCGCCCTTTTGCGCACCGCGCAGTATCGTTGATATCACGATTTTAATATCGTTATCAACAGCTTCATTTCTTCTATTCAACGGTATTACTATCGTTCATTTTGAGCAAGGTTTGGTGGAAAACTCTACCTTAAACCACTCCTTCACGACAAACGTCATTCCTGCCAAAACGGGCCAACTGCTCGACGATATCAAGCCACAATGGCTCGTCCTCAACTCTACACCCAAATCGACCGCCTGGTCGGCGAATCGAACCTCCGCTCCTGGCAGTTCAACATCATCAATCTGCTGGAACGAGAACGCTGTCTTCAATTCCTTTATTCGTCAATCCCACCCCCTGTTGACCCTGAGGCCCTGGAGGTATGGGAGGAGAAGAAGGCAGCGGCAATGAGCACTCTTTCCACCAACATTGATCCTAGCCTCCTCGATCGCCTTAAGGGCGGAGGTTGGGATATGAGGGATCAAGACCCTCACAAGTTATGGGATGCAATTAATCGAACAATTCCCAGGGTCTCGTTAGATGCTGTTATGGATCTCACCCGTGAGTTCTGCAGGATTGAAACTGGTGATTTTCCAACCCTCTATGCCTATTTGGCTCGTGCCCAAACCCTCCGACGCCGCCTCTTGGAGATCCATGGCGTCGATACACCTATGTTCGTTCATATGCTCCTCAATGGCATTCGTGACCAATATCCTGCTTTGTTCGAGAAGCACGCGACGATGAAGGTCTGCGACTGGCATGACGTTGTGGCCGATATCACCTATAAGGCTAACGGTCAAGAATCTGCCTTCAACTCCATGACTGCTGTGCAGGGCACCGGCAATCGAAGCCAGAAAAAGGGTAATTCCACGCCTACCACCGCTTCAGGTGCCAACAAGAAGCATCCTGCCTGCCCTCACCATCTCAAGGAAGGCAAGGAACTGTTCAACCACGCCTCCTCTGCCTGCTTCCTCATTGAGAAGAATATACCATCGAAGTGGTCCGGCGAGGCCCGCGACAGGGCCATCAAGGCCGCCAGGGCTCACCGTTGCAAGTCAGAGGGGCACGGTGGCACAACATAGGTTGGTCACTGAGAATATATCACTCTTGTCAGTTGTGCCTGGTCAGCTAGCTGTCTGCAAAAACCCATCACTTCGACCTAGCTGAACCTTCAGGGTGGCAGTCAGGCTGCTCGAGTAGGTAGTCTGAGTGTGTTTGAACCCTCACACCGGGATGAAAGTACGGGACCCTGGCATCGACTTTGGCAAGTCTGTCGTGAGAGTTTCATAGACGATGGCTCCTCTGGAGAAACGACCTGGATGTAGGCTTCAGCCATCTGTACTGTGGAAAGTATAGCTAATCAGCCAGCGGGCTGTTGCGTGTTGTCGCATCGTTCATCGAGATCAACTCCAAATGTGACTTCGGTTTCGCTGTCCAATGAAGAAAGACACCATAACTGTTTGATCTGTCGTTGTACGTTGAAGTTGTTGCCCGCAGAGCACAGCAATCTTGTGGATTGTCCAGTCCAGAGTGTCCTAGCTCTGTAAGTATTCCAGATAGGTATCTTTCCCAGACACCCAAAGTAATAAGCAAAGACTGAGATACAAAGCCGCCCCTTCCTTCCATCTCTCTGCGATGCCTCACGTAAGACAGTGGTGACGAATGCCCCGCTTTCTTCCTTTCTTTTTCTGTTTCGCTTGAAGAGAGCCGCCTTTTTAATGACCGTTTCGAATGGCAACCTTCAGCTGCTTTGAAGGCCACTCAGGATCAAGGCCACAGCGGTCGTTCTTTGGCCCGCCAGTCTGACGCGTTTTGGCCCAAGCTCCCGTCTGTAGCGGACACGACACGCCAAAAAGCATGATCGCCTAGCTCCCGTCAGCGCTGTCTCCGCCCTGTTCGCCTGCCCGACGGCCCCTCCATCTGTCCGAACAGGCTTAGCGCGGGGTTCTGCTCAGACGCCATGTCCCTGTCCTGACAGGTTGACCTTTGGGTCCGACTACGCCTGTAGTCCGACTACGCCTGTAGTTATCGTAGTGAGCTGTCTTCAGGACGCGACACTTCAAGGGGGGCAACATATCTTTCTTTAGTCCTCACGACGCGATCGCTATCCGCCAACACCACTTCAGTCTCCTCGTTGCGTGTTGCGGGCACTTTCAGGTTGCTGTGCGACCATGAATTTCTTCTCCGCCGTGGCCTCGGCCATATCCCAAGGGTCCCCCTTACCCTACAACATTGGCGACAAGGTCGATGTTGACCAGTCCATCTGGACCCTGAACAATGGCACAAAGAGGGTAAATATAATTGACGCTTCCCCTTCCGGTCTCTATTTTGGAAGCAAAACCTGACATACCATTCAGGAAGACGGATCCAGCTGCAGTGTTTTCTCCTTCGACATCGCCGCCAACAAGTCTCGACTACCCCTCGCGAAGAACGCCCTACGCAAGCTGCGAACGCTCCGACATCCTGGAGTGATTAAAGTCCTAGACACTGTCGAAGTACGCTGCTCGCCTGCTCTATGCAACGACCTCCTTCTTACATGACTCCCAGACCGAGACCCATATCTACATTGCGACCGAGAGGGTCGTGCCCCTGAGGTGGCATATAAGGAGAAAGAGCCTGAGTCCCGAGGCGATCAAATGGGGTCTGCACAGTGTGGCCGTACGTTATTTGAGGAGCGCCTGTTTTACCTGTTCGTAATAAAAGCCTGACACTGCAGCAGCGGACGGTCAAGTTCATAAACGACGAGGCAACCTCGATTCACGGCAATATCAAGGCCGGCTCTGTGTATACATCCGAGAGTGGAGAATGGAAGCTAGGCGGCTTCGAAGTCTTGAGCAGCGTGAAAGATGACGAAGCAGTCATCTATGTAAGTCGCGCTCCATCACGTATTCCGTACACGACTGACTCGGGGACTGCAGACATACGGAAGCCTCGTCCCCGATTCAGGACGGTATACGCCTCCTGAACTGGCCCGTAGTGGGTGGGATGCGATAAAGAAGAGTCCTCACTCGGCAGTTGACTCGTATGGCCTTGGGTGCCTCGTCTTCGAGGCTTTCAATGGCGACTTTCAAGGCTCCGATCAGGCGGGCCAGACGAAGAACCTCCCGCCCACGATGCACGCAAGCTACAAGCGGCTCGTGAATCCAAACCCCAAGGCGCGCCTGAGTGCTGCGCACTTCCTAGACCAAGGGTCTCGTACGGGCTCGTTCTTTGACAGTCCCCTCATCAAGTTGACGGAGGGTATCGACAACATGGGAGTCATGTCCGAGCCTGAACGAGAATCTTTCATCGAGTCAGTAGCCTAGCTCACATATCCCGATCGCTTACAACACACTAACTCAACATAGTGGCTTCGAACAAATCACCGACGATCTCCCTGAAGACTTCATCAAAATGAAGGCGTTGCCTGAAATGCTCAAATCCGTTGAGTTTGGCGGCGGTGGACCCAAGGCCCTCGGTGTGGTTATGAAAATCACAGGGAAACTGTCCGGCGAAGACTTCGACACCAGGATCACTCCGGTTGTCATCCGCTTATTTGGAAACCCGGACCGAGCAATCCGGGTGTGCCTCCTCGACAGTCTACCCTTGATGATCGACCGTCTGTCACAGAAAATTGTCAACGACAAGATCTTCCCGCAACTGGTCACAGGCTTTGCAGATGCAGCCCCTATAGTCAGGGAACAGACTCTCAAGTCTGTGCTTGTGATTATTTCGAAACTGTCGGATCGAACCATCAATGGCGAGCTGCTAAGGTACCTAGCCAAGACGGCGAATGACGAACAACCGGGCATTCGAACCAACACGACCATCTGCCTCGGCAAGATCGCGAAGAACCTGGGTGTTTCGTCAAGAGCAAAGGTGCTGATTGCAGCCTTTACTCGCTCTCTTCGCGATCCCTTTGTACACGGCCGAAACGCCGCTCTCATGGCACTGGGCGCAACAAGCGAGCACTTTTCCGACGAAGACTGCGCGACGCGGATCTTGCCTGCCATCTGCCCGCTGCTGATGGACAAGGAAAAGCTGGTGCGTGATCAGGCGAACAAGAGCATAGACGTCTACTTGCAAAAGATTCGCAAGGCAGCCGCAGCCATGCCCGAGTCTGTGCTGCCCCCTCCGGCTGCCGAGGCTGCAGCAGGCCCAAGAATGAGCACCCCTCAGCCCAGCGAGGGCTCCTCATGGACTGGATGGGCTATTTCCTCATTCACCAACAAAATGTCTGCGGCTGCAGGTGAGATGCAGACGAACGATCACGGCACGACGTCTGGAACGACGACACCGCGAGTGACCTCGTCTCCTGGCCTGGAAACCAAAAAGACGGGGTCGACCGCGTCCACACTTCACAGACAGGCCGTTACTTCTCCGCTCCCCACATCATCCAGGGCAACACCTCAGCCGGCTGCAGACTCCTTTTTCCAAGACATTGATGACGCTGGTGAAGACGATGCATGGGGAGAAATGCATGACGATGACACGTTTTTCGACGCGCCCAGCGCCAAATCCGCAGCGTCCAAGCCCGCAACAGCCAGCTCGACGCCATTTGACGACGGATCAGAGCCTGATTTCGCCGGCTGGCTGGCTGCTCAAAATCAGAAGAAGAGTGGGCCCTCCAAGCCGTTGCCTAAAGGACTCACCAAGTCGACATCTGTGGCGAAGAAGCCTACCGCCACCAAGACAACTGCGAAGCCAGCAGCGAAGCCGGTAGTTGCCAAGAAGATTGACATGAAGCCTAAGGAAACGGGTGATGATGACGGTTGGGGTGACGGATGGTAAAGGACATGATGAGCTCACAAACGGCCTCTCTCATGTCTGACGGATGTTCCCATTTTTGAGTTCCATCTCATCACATTTGCTGGCGTTGTCTGGTCGCTGGAGACCATAGCTCTACTTTGGATACCATCACGTGAAAGCAGGCATGATAGACGAGGGCTAGAGCACGAGATCGGTTGCTTGAAAAGGATCATGGTACGAATTGAATCAGTCAATTGATCAAGACGTTTTCAAAATGACCCAATTGGGCAGCAAATAGTTTCCAGACGCCTTGCCGACCCGACCCTGAACCTGGATCATACAACTCGTGAACTAAAAACAGCATGGGAAAGAGGGAGGGAGGGACCTGCTACCTTGAGCCCCCGACCTCTGGCAACCTCTAGCAAAAAGGACAGCTCATCTTGCCTCGGAGTAATCGTTAAGCGCTACACAAACAGATCCTCTATGATGTCCGTTATACTGCCTGATGATCTGTTGGCTATGCAGCTCCCACAGTCGCGCGTAATGGTCTGAGCACGACGTGACTAGGTAGGCCGAGTCGGCGCTGAAGGCGCAGTCCCAGACCCAGCGCTGGTGGCCGTTGAGGGTGGCCTCGAGAGGGTAGGGCTTGGGGCCCTCCTCGTCGGGAACGGGCTCGATGTCCTTGACCTCCCAGATTTTGGCCGTGTGGTCGGCGCTGCACGTGGCGAGCTTCTTGACGTCCGGCGAGAGGAGGATGCGGGTGATGTACTCCTTGTGGGCGCTGAAGTGGGTTACGGGAACGAGCTGGGTGCGGTCGTAGGCCTGGAGGAGCTGCCAGACAAAGACGTTGCCCTAGGCGGGGTCAGTAACGTATGGCGGCGGCAGCGGCGGCGGCGGCAGGTGGGTGGCCGTCGGGAGAAACATACTGCATTGTTGGCCGCGCACAGGAGGGAGCCGTCGCTGGCGACGGTGACGCTCGACACGGACACGTCCTCTTCAGGGATCAGCTGGTGAGAGCAGTTATTTTCCGCCAGGTCCCACACGCGAACGCTGCCGTTGCGGTCGCAGCTGATGATTTCGCCCTGGTTCGGGTGAATGACGACGTCGTTGGCGGGGCAGCCGTGGCTGTAGCTACGCTGAACCTGGCCGGAACGCGTCTCCCAGATCTTGACGGTGCCGTCCTCAGAGCTTGTGACCATCCATTTTCCTTCGCAGTGAAAGGCGACGCCTGTGATGTTCCCGGTGTGACCCTCAAAGGTCAGGAGGGGGTTCGGGTTGGTCGACTTGATGTCGAAGAGCTTGACCGTGTGGTGGCCGGCGGCAGCGAGGAAGCGCTTGTCGGGAGATATGCAGAGACGGTTGACCTGCGAGTCGGGGTGCTGGATCGTGCGAGAGCAGATGCCGGAAAGTGCTTCCCAGAACCTGTGATGTCTGTCAGCCGAAGATCGTGACTGCTATCAGGGTCCGAGGCGGTGCCGGGTTCAAGGGCAGCAGGTGCGTCAGGAACAGATGGGAGGAGTCTCGTACCTAATGGTGTGGTCGTAGCCAGCTGGGTCACGCCACAAGTTAGCAAGTGACGCAGATCAGAGGACGGTCCAAGAACAGCTTGGTGGTTCGCGACAGGCGGCGGTCGAAGGGCAGATATCGATAAGGTTCGTGGTGTGCGCAACTGGCTGTTTGCTTACCTGTGCAAAGAATCACAGACATATTTACTGAGACGGCCGCTCTGGCGTTCGCATGTTATACGACAGGAAGCTTTGTATCAGTAGACTGCAGCAAGGTGCAGGGAAGAGAACGCAGAATCGCATCTAAGGCGGCGTTGCTATGGTCCAAGGCTGTCAATTGTCGAGTTCCCCTCGTGCTCACAAGGACCTGACCGAGCAGAGTACTAGTCCAGCCCCACCCAAATACCCAGCAGGCCGACCCCGAGGTGGAGTCTTTGAAGCTCTAGTGCTGCCAGGGCCACGCAGTCCCACCAGTCCTGCCAGGTACCGGCCGCTCACTGCCTTAGTCATATTTTCCGCCCTCTACCTAGGCACCTACCTACTGTAGATAGGTTGGCAGTGGGAGACATTACCATTATGCATCACGTGCAACACGCCAACTCTATCTTCCCTCTGAAGCATCACCTGTTGGCTACCTCCCCACGAAACATGTTTCCGGACGCACGATCTCTCACTGATATTTACAGCATGCGTCCTTTCAGCATGCATCCTTACCATTTCTCAGGAAGAACAAGCCGATATAGCGAGACTTGTCTGAACCGAATCACCATACATCTGAGAACCTCAACCAACCTGGCTGATTTTGAGCGTCATACTTGGCATGAATGTTGCATCAATTCATCTTTCAGTAACAAAGTCCCGCGCCATGATGGGCCACAAGCTTTCGACCTGCCTTATCACCGCTCCCTGGAGCGAGGGCATGTTGCTCATTCAGGACTGTACCGGAACATGCAAGTACACGTGCCGGTGATCGCTCACGCAAAAAGAAACATACAGGCTTGGGCCAAAGGTGTCATACACATCTCGAGGCCGTGGACCAATTCCATTCCGACACATGTCATCGGCTGCGGTTTGGGCATGTCGCTTCTTCAAACGACTAGTTTGCCACCTCAGCAAAACAGCAGCAGTCCTCGATGGGCATCCCGAAACGGCCTGCCCCTGTGCAAAGAAGACATCTCACATCTGCTTGGGCACTTGTGTCTCTTACCAAGATTCCTGGATCAGATACAGCAGATCGTCTCATCTCTAAATGATTGTATGGTGGAGTCACAGTCTAGCCCGCATCGCATCGCATGGATCAACCCAAAATACGTAGGCGGATGAGACGGTTCACGACCATCAGGGACGCTCACCTCGACGGACGCATCTCGGAGCTTCTGCCGTGACACGCAAAGTTGCAAGCCCCTTGTCACACTTCGGTCCTGGTCCATTCATGTTACTGCACAAAGTCCTCGCACTCCCCTCTGAAGCTATCGTCGGCTGCCCAAGCCTCGGGCCCCAAAGGTCCCAAGGTCCACGTGCTTCGTGACCCCGGAAGCGGTGCTACAAACATCGAACACCTTGATTCTGGGACCTATCGGGTTCTGTGAGAGAGATCGCTCGCTGGTACTTTTCGGTCAGCACGTGTTTACTGCCTTGGCTCTCTGGTCGCCGCTCGTTCATCTGATGTCCTGTGACTAGACACTGGGCTATCTGTCATGATTCGTCATGAAGGTCAGTCTGAAATGTCAGCTCCAAACGGCGATACAGGTGATCGATTTGCCTCGGCGATTGCTAAGGAACAGTCAACCGAGCTGCAGGTAGCGCACCCTGCCCAACGTCAATCCTCAACAATATTCACACTGGGACTCAGAGTAGAAACATGTCAGCAAGCACGTGATACTTGGTCTCAGCGGCTCACCTCACAGATTGTCATTCATTCAGAGCTTGCGCAACTACAGACTATTCTTGAACCCTCAGGGATCCCCCAGCACTCTTGACTATTCATGATACTTTCTGGAGATGACATGTACAAAATCAAAGGCACATTCTCGAGTCACCAGGAACTCGGTGCCTTGGGAGGCCTTCAATTGCGTCTAGCTGGGACGCTCTGGTAAGACGATCCATGGCCGTCGCGGGGTCCTCGACCACCTGGTTGAGGAGGCGCTGGCGGCGGGGCGCGAGTGTAAGCTGCTGGTGCATGACAATGCGGGTTATGCCAGACAACGCCACTCCTCATGCAGGGATCGCAGTCGGCAACTCTACTGAGATCAGTGTGCCGTCTGAGAAGGCTAAAGCGGATGCACTTACAGTCTCGGCGACCCGGCGCAGACGGGACAACTGACGCAAATTCCCAGCCCACGGACACAGCCGCAGACAAAGACAGAGTTGGCACTCATAGTGACTTGATGGGTTATCGATGACCGCAATTTGAGAGTCTTGATTTCGATTTCAATCAGTGACTGCTAACAGTAGCGCAGTCACAGTATTCCGCAAGTCAACATTTGCATGCGGAAACCATCATATCGAAAGGAGCAGAGGATTTGCAGACGTTATATAGCCCTATGTCAGAGCAGCCGTCGCTCTTCCGCGCTCCCGTGCCGGGACCTGCAATCAGCACTTCTTCGGATTCGTGGCAGCCCAATTCAGGAGAGCCTTGCCAAGCGGAGCCAGCACAGCAGAGGGAGGTGCTTCGAGGGCGGGTCTTGTGACCACGACAAGACACCGAGGCTGACGTTTGCCTCGCCTCAAGTCTCGAGGCTTGGGAGCACTGAACATAATGGCGCATGCCACCGTAACCAAGTGCTTAGTATATACGGCCGAGGGGCACACCTCAGAGTGTGCTTGACGAGACAGCTGCGCTGCGTACGGTGGAAGAGTTGCTGTGGCGGCGATTGGTCCTGGATAAAACTGACTGCTGCAGACTGATGACAGCTTCCTGCTTTTTCTTGCCTAAACATCCCATATCTATCGGATGGCAGCCACCGCCGAGATGATATCATTTCACTCGAATGCCTTCTCTGAAGAGAAATGACCGACTTGTCACTAGCGTCTGCGAGAAGCTGTCATTCGTCCTCGAAGCTTTCTTCTCTGCAGAGATCAACTGTCTCGTTGGCTACCTTGGCCTCGTCTGAAGTATTCTACATGCATCTGGAGAATCGAGATCAGCCGAGATGCAACTTGACAGGCGGACAAATAGACCAACGACAGTGCGTCGGCAGCACTGACGTCTAGTAGGTCAGGATATATCATTTGTCTGAACCAAACCGTCGGGTAGCGCCCCCTTGAGGGTGTGCTCAGCGCATAGGTGACTCGTAGTCAGGCGACCGCCTTTCTGCCGGGTCATAGGCTCACCATGGATGCCTCTTGTTCGCCATATTCAGATCGACCGCGTGGCATCTGTCATCGTGGGAAGGGAGTGGCTCTGACACGACCCGGAGGGCTGCACCTCTTTCTGTCGCTACCCGTTCATCATCGCTTGTTGTCGCTTGTGTGCAAGGCCATGTGACTCCAAAGCAAGAATCTCGGGGCCACCCCTGAACGACGGAGCCTCCCGAGGGCCCTCTGTGCACAAGCTTGCTCACCTTGAGGGTACAAGCCTTGTATCTGGGTGTTTGAAAGGGTTACAATACCACTCCCGAACGGGAGACAAGCTTCAACTAGGTGGGTGGGATGGGCAATGTCGTGTGAGTGAAGACCTGGGTTTCCATCGGCTTCGGTGCTGCTAGCAATGTCCGTGGTATAGTTGCTATTGGACAACTACCTCGAGGCATGTGCACTTGCGTTCGTTCTTGTTGGCAAGCACGAAACCTCCGCCTCTCTTTGTGCTGCCATCCACCTCACATTTTCTGCAGACGATTTACAGACAGCCGGGAGATCTCCGTGCCTTTCTCAGCCAGGTGTACTTGGGATGCTAGGCGCCTTTGCCGCGCCACCCCCGGCTGTGGCACGCTGGCTGCGCGCGGCCAAGTATGCAGAAACGGCAAAGGCACCATCGTTTCCCCCCAATTCTGTCTTTCCCAGACCACATTTCAGAGATACGACAGTTCTTCTCCTGGTGTTACCACACCTCGGCCCTTCGTCGCCCGACGATGCCAGTAGCATTTTGCGATCAGCACAGTTGAGTCGCACCACGAAGAAATCTGCCCGCCTTATCCAGGAGGTTATGAGGGAGGAAAAAAAGGTCTCCACGTGTCGGTCGATCTTCCATCATCTCACCAGTCTCTGTTGGCGACGTGGCCATCAGACGACTGTCTAGCCGACGAAGCTGTTGCGTCCATGCAAGCAGTGCCGCGCCCGAATCTTTTAGTCGCCCTGACAAAGCCAGTGACGGCACCATGACTGTAGAAACTCTGGCATACTCGTAACGCACTCAGAATCTATTGGACTAGTGCCATCTCCAGAAACAGTGCCAGGGTCGACTTCCTATCCCGATCCCAAGTCTCATGTTCTCGTGTTTCCGCCAGCTACTTTTCAGGACGAGGCAGGACCATCTAAGCTTACGTCTTTCCTTTAACTTGGGTGCACATACGCGTGGAGAAATCCTGATTCACTGTCGACTACCTTCCCTAGAGTGAGCTAAGAAGAATGAAAGACGTCTGACCCACCAAGTCATTATTGCGTCTCCAAAGCCAGCCTTCCTGGAAAAGTCAAGACTAAAAAGCAAACGCACCATTCCCTCTGAACGCCTGCCACAAATCAGACGAGACCCTTCCCTTAACATGAACCATCCTGGATGTTGGAGAAGTTCCTGACCAACAGCGAAAGCAAGAAGAATGCATAGCTCCGAAAGCCTCGACGCCCTTCAAAGGGCAGGAGCCGTTGCGATGAGTGTGGTAATAAATGCCACGCCTGCAGCTGCGCCGCCAAGGGCGACAAGACTTGCTGCCTCAGCGATGCGTCTAAATCGCTTGGACGGGCGGTCACAGTCATGCTCGTGTACACCAAAGCTGCACCTTTGCTTGGACTTTGTTGTCTCTGAGGAAGCTGAGGCTGTTGGGTCACCACTGCTCAGAGACGCAGAAGGCGCTCTGGCTGCAAGCTCATCACCATTGGTGGCATCGTTGAGAGCCGCCTCCACCGCCTCCTCTCCGAGCACAACACACGAAATGTCAGAAGCCTTGCGCTTCGCAGAGGTCCGAGATCGCAGCTGCTCGCTAATTTTGACAGGTGCACTGATGACTTGCGACTCAACCACAGTATCTGAAGCTTGTATGTTGCTGTCGGGCTCCGTCGTAGCTGCAGCCATTTTGCTTTGGTTGAAAGACCAAGCGCTAGTCATATCCAGCTCAGGACTAGTGCGAGCGTCGGCGATGATGGGATCATTTGGGGGGCCAGTGAGGAACCTGTCGCCGGAATCAATCCACATGGCTTCAGCGGGTGGAGATGGCTGCGCCGTCAAATTTCTAGAACATGGTGCAAGATCGAGAGAGTCCTTGGTTTCGTCTGTTGGTGTTACAGGCTCGCATGCAGCCGTCGATTCGTTCTCAGACTTGGGATTACCCGACAAAGCAGGCTCTGTTGTTGGCGTCGACAGAAGAGTCGTACTCGGTTCGGGCAGCTCTGTCTTGGAGACCGATAGGCGTCGACAAAGCTCTTGCTTGTTCGACTCTCGCGCCTGAAGGAAGTCTTCGTTCTCGGACCGCCAAGTGCTGAATGACTGGCCCCGGCGTTCCGGCTGTAGGTTGACAGCTGCCTCTCGCCAGGGCGGGAGTTTACGTGACTTGTCAATGCTTTGAGGATTTGTGGCAGAAGCCGAAACAAAGATTGTACGTTGGGGGGCCGCAAGAATCATGGTTGGCATGGTGGACATGCTCATCCCGTTGGAGCCCAGGACTTGTTGCAAGGGTGGAAGCATCCACTGCTGTTCTGGCGGCGATGTAGGAACTGATGAGGAGCATGTCAGAGGCCTTCTAGCTGTTAAAACATAAGAGGGGCATGAAATACCTTGCGGTTTCTCGGACTCGATTGCAGGAAGGAATCCAACTTCATTGTATTCCTCAACTGATCGTGATGGTTCTGGGTAGTGACCCCAGCCTGGCGTTAATGGGCTTTGCGTTTTGGTGACATCTTCCATGGCAATGGATGCTTCTTCGTAATTATCTTCATACTCATCGATTTCCGATATGGATTCATCCTCGCTGCTGATCGAATCACTCGACTCGGCCTCAAAGTCGTCCTCGTCCTCGTCCTCGTCTACGGTGTGCTCAGTGCCGGCAATCACTGAGCTGCTCCACGCCCCCCAAAGGAGCACCATCGAGTTGAGTATCATCATTTGACGACTCTTGTTCCGAATCGCTCGTGTCAAAACGGATAGGTTGGTGGGAGTGATCGACCGGATGAGCTGGCTCTGGTTCCATAGGAAGATGCGCATTTTCTTTGCCCTCGTCGTCACAATCAAGGTCAAGAACTTCAGTGACAGCGCCAGCGCAAGGAGCTGGTTTAGAGACCGTGGGCCAATGCTCTGAATTGGAGGCTCTCGTCAGATCGATGACAGTTTCACCCTTAGGCTCGTAATGGTCAAGGTCGATGATTTCGGCGCTGATGCTGGTTTTGGACGGCACAGCGCCAGGCGTTACTGCAGGAGTTGTTGGAGGGATGACAGCAGTGTCCTGCTTCGGTGCCCGTTGCTCTCCGGCAGCTCGAAGGTTTGCGACGGCGCTGTGTACCGCGTTGCGGTCCTCATCGTCACAATCGTCGCTGTCAAAGCCATCACTGTCGTCAGAAGTCTCAGGAACGCGGTAACCGACTGAGCGATCAACAGGGGTATGAGTGCCTGTGGTGTTGTGATCCGCTCCATTGACGAACTGAATGTCGATGGAAGCAGAGGGCGGGGGATAGAGACCTTGGTCACGTTGTATATCGATACCAAATCTGACGAAATCACCTTGGTGAAGTTGGACAGGGGTATCGGGATAGACGCGGTCTTTGTTAACGAAAGTACCGTGTCTCGAGTGACGATCCTTGATGTAGACAGCCTGGTACGGTCAGCATTTGATATCATGGACATGGTTCTAGAGCTTGAGGACGCCTGCCAGCGCAAGATAGACGGTCATAGATTTCGTACCTTCTTTGGGTCTGGAACGAGAAAGATCTCGGCATGCTCGCGGCTTATCACGGGGCTTTCAAGCCAGGCGTTGTCAAGGGCAGCAGATAGGTTGGCCACTCTCTTGCTGGTACGGCCAACTGGGATGGAAGGCCTGGCCGCGTTGAGTGTGATGCGACGCTCAGGATAAGTATTATCGGAGATCGGGAAACTGAGGCTGACGATGACTGCGGGGATAGTTGTTAGTTTGACTTGTACCTGCAAGAGTAAGAGAGGGATACCAAATGTAGACGTACCATCGTCACTCGAGGACATGTGATCGTTAGACATGTTGAGTGGTATCAGCAGTCGTGGTCAAGTGGCCACGTCAAGAAGCCGGGTTTGAGGAGGAGAACGACGAGGCAGTTCGGTATTGAAGGCTGCGGTCGAGAGGGTCAGCTGTGGCTTGTTTCCAAATGTCTCGCCTCAAGCTCT